GAATGAGCACATCAACGAACATTAATGTGCATGTGAATATGTGATCAGGCATGGTGCAGAAAAACTATTGTATTTAACAGGGCAAGAGTATGACTCAGCAGCTCATGGTGGGAATTTTTCAAGTTCCCCAGGCTACGAGCAAACAATACAGAAAGACTTTCATGCTAACCCATCCCATGTACTTTGTGATTTAAAATTCATAAACTCTTAGTTGGGTGCATGGGCGATTAATATATATTTCACAGTCATGGGGAAACAAGTCGCAATAATCATGACCTGGGAGTCTAGTAGAGAGAGAAGACGGCAGTCCATCATCTTCTGTATGATCACTCAATAAAAAGATAAAATCCTGATCATAGCAAATTACCAGCTAACAGGCATTCTATTTGCAACTGCAGCGTACACCTCAGGAGTACCTTTGACAACCTGGCTTGACTGTGGCACTTCGGTAGTACCACTTTCAAGTTTTTTACATCAAAATCTGGCTTTCCTGGTTCTTCCCATTCCCAAGGAATGAAGTACTAAATGCAACCCATACATGAGAGAAGTTTGACCTAGGAAGAACATAAGAAACTAAAGAACAATAGTAATGGACAAATACATTTGGCACAACAGAGTGGCATTCTTTTGTGGCTATATCCAAGTATGAGATGATCAAGGAACTAGAGCCAGATCAGTTTGATCTTTGATATCAGAAATGTGAAGACCAGTGCAGAGCTTAGAGGGCCACATATATAGAAGTGATTTCACCCAGCAACCATGAAGGTTTTGGCTGGCAGATGTATCAATTGCATTTGCGACCCAATGAATTGGTAGATAGAAGGGTTCGGATGGACATCAGAACCGTACTCTGTATGCATTCACATGATACTATCAAATTGATTTTTATAGATGGTCAGTGGAAGAGAGAAGAAAGAGAACTGATTGCATCTCATCAAACATTAAGTATGCAGGGAAAGAATTTGTCATTATCAAATTATATATGTATAACATAATCTTCTGTAATGGTAAGGAAGAAGACGATTAATTGGAGATCTACGCCACAAATCAACAATCACTACTACTCTTTTTTCTTATCAACGACTTGAGAGCCCCCATTTCCATTGTCTGGAATGAGATAAGATAGTTCTTCGTATACAGAACGACCTTACACTCAACTTGACCACATATGAAGCATATCAGGGACTTGGCAAGAGGTTTAGCATGTCATACCACCATCACCAGTAGGTCCAGTACTAAAAAAACAGGGACAAAAGCATTGAACAGCACATAAAAAAAAAGGTTTGCACACGGACTTTCCTAGAGAACTTCCAGCTCTTAATTTGTTCATCATCCTCCTTTCACTCTAGTCTTCTTGTGCCATTCTTCCATCCTAACCTCGGGTTGGAGATTTCACTTATAACTCAACCCTGTTTTCTTTTGGAGGGGTTAGGAACCCCTCCACTCCACATGTAAAACGGAGTGATGGATCAATACATGATTAAAGACGTAATAGCTTAAAAATAAATTAATATAATTTTTTATAGTAACTTTCCCATAAAAACCTTTTTAAAAACACATCGTTTAGCAATTTGGAAAACATGCGCATGAGAAACGAGAAAAGTGAGTCGAGAACTTTGGCTAAAGAACACAACAGTTTGTTGCTTGGTGTTGAGAACTCATTCCTTGTGAACATAAAACGGCGCAACTTATTAGTACATGATTAATTAAGTATTAGCTTTTTTTTGAAAAATGGATTCATAGGGTTTTTTAAAAGCAACTTTCATATATCTATTTTTGCAAAAGAAAACGTACAATTATAGTATGAAAAGTGTGCACGTGTAGAGATGAGTTGGGGACAACAAAAGAACTCAGCTTAGAAACTGGGCTCCCATATAGTAGTCTTCTTGGCCTTTTCCTCCGATGTCTACAACATAGCCCAAGTTTTAATCTAGTGCAAGCAAACAATATTAATTCAGTGGGACTTTTAGGATAAATTTTCCCTGAATTTCCAGATAGGCAAAATAACTATAGCCACTCCCACGGTCCCACTATCATCACTATATTTGTTTCATTTCATAATTAAAGTCATTCAGAAAGTACGGCCCGAAGAAGTATTACATGTTCGGAATTAGTTAACGATTAAAAGAGCAGATCACTACATTGCTGATTAATCTTTGTCATTGAGCATTGAATGAAAAGATGTTGTATTATTTCCTCCTTGTCAAGAAACAGACATTTTCTAGGCCTGTTTGGGGGAGTTAAGATTCTGAGAAACAGCTAGATGTTATAGCTAGTTTATGAGAATCTAGAAAAGCTGAGTTTCCCAGCTTAGTTCACTTTCTAGATTCTATAACTACAGCTTCTTATAATCTGAACCAAAAGCTATACTATTTGAGGAAGTTTCTGATTATGGAAGAAGCTGCAGAAGTGGAAGCTTCTCCAAACAGGCATTCCTTTTATCCATTTTTGCCCATTCTCCTCTATAATTAGATTGTCTTTGGTTTTTTTTTTTTTGACTGGGAAAACTATCAGGCCTTTAGATTGTCTTTGGTTATTATACTATCTTATGTATGAACCAAAGGAAAACCTCAATTTCAACGGAATCTTGAATGTCCAAAGTTTTTTGTGATAGAAATTTGTCATTGGAATTTGAAAGCCTCATAAAAGGATTTCACATAATTTTTTTCCATCTTTTATCAAGCACCATGACAACTTGTCTTTACAATTCTCTTGGATTTCAATGGCATCATAGTTTGCCTTGTATTATTCTAGACCTGCAGTCTTTCCCCATCCATATTTCTTCTAAATATGAACACACCCTAGCCTTCTTTTTTCTCTTTTGCCAGGGTAATGTTCTTTGTGAAATTATTGCTTCTATACTTACTGGATCATACGTAAGGGAAGGACATGCAAACAGGATGATCGAACGGCTAATTATATGATCATGATCTAATCTAGCTGCTTACAACTTTTAATGACGTGGCTGAACTAAATCTCAACTATTGGTGATATTTTTCTTTTAAAAATATGGTGGGGCCTGCCTGTCATACTCTCTCGCATCTCTTTTTCCCCCTCTTTTAAAAATATGGTGGGGTCTGCCTGCCACCGGATCGTCTCCACAGCGCTGCCATGGACCACTCTCTACCGCTGTCACGCTGCTCCATGTATCACCATCCTAGGCCGCCGCCTGGACTTCACTGCCACCCCAAGGTGCTAGCCTCTACGCTGCTCCACCCGCCTCCACCGACTGCCCATCATTGGCCACTGGGTCGCCGATCCCAATGGCACTCTCAAGAGAGAGGTGAGAGAGTATATATGAAAGGTGGACCCCCACCATTTTTTAAAAAGAAAAATACTGACTAAATTGCCACACGTTCGCCAAATAGGACAAAACCGCTCTGGATTGGGTTGAGGAGGGTTATTCATACTAACGTGATAGTTAGGGGGGTAATTCATACTTTTTCCATTTATAGATTCAGTGTATGTAGCTCAACCAAGGGTCTACCCCCAGCCAACCGTCCACAAATGTGCAACCACTAGCACAAAAGCGATTTTCTCCAATGCCCCTCTGGATCTCCATAGGGGGTCCATAAGGAGATAGGCTTGTGGAGAACGCTAGGCGGGACCTATACGCTGCCTGTCTATGATAACATTTCTTCTGCATACCAGAAATTGATTTATTTTCTCTTCGGGAAATTGGTTCCATGATATCCAAAATTTACAAGTCTAGCTTTATACCACTGAAAGATCTATATACACTTTAATTAATATCACTAAAAATTTACATCGTTCCTTTCTTTACACAGGTCCTAAGAGTATCGTCCTAGCAGATATGCCATCCAGACATCGATTGGCAAAATAGCGGTTAGGAGAAGAAAAACGTGATCCAGCAGATACACCATCCCACCCTCCAAATTTAGCGTATCCTCCATCCTAGAGAGAGAAACATCAAATTTAGCATTCATCTCTCCTCACGCTACCCCACAACTGTTGACGTCTAAACAGAACTCCCACCCTCATCCGGATCGATGCCTTCCTCCTCTCCTCTACTTGTTTTGACGACGACTAGGGTGGCAATGGCGGCCGGGACTAGGAAATGATGTACCAAATGTAGACGTGAGGGATTTTCTAGGAAAAGGGATGTGGTCGTCGCGGACAGACAAGCTCCATTCGCGGCACCTCCAACCGTGCGCCGCACGCGTGTCGACCTGAGCACCGCCCACGACCAAGCCACATGTACCCACATTGGCCCTAAGCGCATGCCCTAGAGCCGACCCCATCACCGCCCTTGGCCGAGCCGCATCTACCCGCATCGGCCCTACGCCGCCAAGCCCATGTTGCCCCTATGCCACCTGCATTGAGCCGCGCCGGCCTCTCCCTTCCCCTCATTCTCCCTATCCTCTCGGAGTACAAGTAGAAGAGAGGAGGAGAAATTGGTAAAAGGAGCTAGATGAGAGAGGAAGAGAGATGTGAGAATAGAGTATATTTGTTTAGTTGAAAGATATTGTTAAAATATAGGAGGGTGCGATATGATGGATATAATATAGATAATTTGTTGAAGTAAGAAGAGATACGAAGAGAAAATCTTTTCCGAAGGTAATCTAAATAGGAATATCTATATCTTTACCTTCACCCATTATAAAAAATCAAGGTGTTTTTGCCCAGAAACTTTCCTACGTCGCCCCCAATTGGAAATAGCGCCCGGTTTTTTTTTGCACTGTTTGTTAAAAAAGTCGTGCAAAACAAAAGAGCGAAATTCGTGCGAGAAAAAAAAAACCGAGCGAAATTCGTGCGAGAAAAAAAAAACCCAAATAGGAACAGGGAGGATCAATTTTATGTGGACTGCTGGGATGCTCTAAGCTATCCGTTTCCGTACATCACCGCCAGCGGGGAACTCCTTAGCGCCACTGCCATGTGGGCCCACATCGAAGGGACCCAGCGCTCAGTGCAACTACCGTCTCTCTCCGCTCCCACGTGCTAGCACACCCAACCTCTCCACTCCAAATAGCCCCAATGGCAGCTACAGCTACTCCTCTGAGAGAGTGGGCCCCACGCGGCAGCGACGCACGCATGATAGGCTCGTAGCCCTCGCCGTCGTCGTCTTCCTCCTCCTCCTCCTCGCGCCGCGGAGAGGATTCCATCCTCCTCCCTCTCCCCGCCGCCGCCGTCAATCCCGAATCCCGAGGGCTCGGGTGGTCGTCGTCGGTCCGGGATGGCGGGGAGGAAGCGGAAGGCGGAGGCGGCGCGGGCGGCGGAGGAGGAGGCCGACCGGGCGCTCTACGGCGCCTTCCGCGGCGCCGCCAACTCGCTCTCGCAGCTCTACGCGCTCGCCGGTGCCCACCAGCGCCTCTCCTTCCACGCCGGTGAGCGCCACGCCTTGGTACGCCCCGAGCTAAAATCGCCCCCTCCCCAAGTCCCACCCTTTCCAGTCGGGTGAACTTCTGGTCAGTTTTGCAATCGAGAGATTAGATTATTTGTTTTTTTGGCCCCTTTTCCTCGATTTCTTTCAGTTCTTGGATCTTAAGATTTTTGGTGTTGCGGTGCGGGTGGGACGCTGAACATTTTGAGTCGTGGGGCTTCTTTCTTCAGAATTTTTGTTTTCGCTACTTACATTTTGTGGAGAATTGAACTCTCGATTTTCACCTTTTTGCTAGGTTCTGTGCATATAAAGCTGCAATATTTGCTATATTCTGTCTTCAGCTGTGGTGAAATTGTGCGGAGATTTTTTATTTTGGTGTTCACTGCTATTCATGTTTGGTTTTAGTTGCCACTTATGAGTTATGACAACAATTGTTTCTTGATGCAAATTTTGCTCAGTTAATTCACACTTTTAATTTGTGTGGGCGTCATCACACCATCTGAAATTGCAGTTTATCGCTACTTCATGATGACTGAAACCTAAATGCATCTTTGTTTTCATCATTGGTATTCTCGTTTAATTGCAGAAATCGTGGTTTGTTGTGAATTTGTTTACCATCAGTTAGTCAAACTTAGGTGGAAATGTTTCAATTCTGTATTCCAAGACACAAGTTAGATTGTGCTCTTGTCGTTCAAAAAAAAGAAAGAAGTTAGATTGTGCTAATAGTAATAAAGAGATAAAAAAAGGGATTGGCGTACAGAACATAATAGAGAAACGTATGGGACAGGTTTCCTTCTACACTATTTCTAAAGGATCTTTGACAAGTTTCCTTTTGCTTGTTTGGTGTTCACAATTAAAAAGTAGTACTGTTAGGTGTAGGTATGCTTTTCTAATCTTAAAAGGCATGTTTTTTTTTCTCATCTTAAAGCATTGCAATAAGCAAATTCTAGGTTGGAAGATTAGCCAAAATTATCCCCCCTGTGATAGATTTTAGCTATAATTGTTTTGGTGCTGTAAGACAGCTTGCTGGGAGTGCTCTTTAAGTTTTACAAGTTTGCCTTCATCAACTTGTGCTAAACTAGTCCACCTGTACTACATGTTCTGTTATTGTGCATTAGTTCATTTTGGTTGTGGTTCAATCTTCTCCTATAAGTTTTGAATGACTTAGAAGAGGCAATACCACCGAAACTACCATTGCCTACTGAAACACCAATTGAGATTTAAAATCTGATGGACTTTTTGGTTCACCAACAGGCTGCAGTAATTCATGGGAGGACACAGTGATATTGTGTAATGAATTTGGCATACTTGAATGCGTTGTTCCTTACAAAAAGCTTAAGTGATGGTGGCACAGTACCAAATACATAATTGATTTAGTCATCTGGTCCCCCATTTGTGTTAATATGGTATAGATAGACAAGTATTTTAGTTGTTTAAATCAATCCTCAGGGATTGTGTCCATACAACAGGACAATAATTGGTGCTATGATGCACAAACCCAATTGCATATACTGGTGCTTAGCATTTTTCGTGCTCTTGTTTAGATTGATAGATTATGCTTGGTAATAATGTGCAGCCATTTTGTTTTATTCAGGAAAAACTCTACCAGTGGATGGTGCGACAGCATGAAATTGGCTTGAGGCTCACAGTATCTGACATAGCATCCCACATCCAGGTCCAGATTTCTATTTGTAGACTAATCACACTCTTATTGTACTACATATAGTTCACTTTCACATCTATGATCTGTTCACTGAACCTCTCAGCTAGGCTGTAGTATTATGAACGATGATATTTCATCACATTTCATTAATAGCTCCTGTCCTTACTCCTTACCCATGTAGCCATGTTTATGGGTTTTTCTTGAATGTAGCACGAGATTGAGTATGGAGGTGACAATGCATTAACTTCACCGAGATCGCAACACGCATTCCAGAATCTCCAAGCTCCAATGCACATCCCCAACACAAGCACGCAGCAGCCGCCATCTTGTTCAATCACACCATCAAACCCTTCCAAGGACTCTATGATATTTTCGAAAGCGCTATCCAGCCCTGTCCGGCAAAACCTGCAACTGTACCATGTACAGCAATGCGGTGACACAGGATGCTTTGCAGATGGCATTTTTTGCCCTGGAAACGGTGACTCGGATCCTGCAGCATCAAATGATTCGTCGGTGGATATGCATTCAGATAGCCCAGGTCATGACTCATGAGCCCTGATTCCTGAATGAGCAATTACCATTTTCCAGTTTGATTCCATGAACTGCAATCAACAAACTTGAAGTAAAGAAGTGGAATTGCCCTCACGCAATCTGGGATCTCAATTTAATCCCTCACCCAAGTTAACTTGTAATTTGTAACTAGCTATTGCCCAGTTACCTCAGATATAACGTGCACATATATATCATCCATGTATGTACTTTCAGATTATATAATAGCTGACGTATCAGTTTTTTATGGTACTAAACAGTGAACACTGATCAGTAATTTCAGATTGCAAAACTTTAAGCTAGCTTATATAGCTGTTTCTTCGGTTAAGTGTCGCAAATGTTAATCGTATATAATTTCTTTGGGGTAAATATGTGATGAAAACTCAATTTAAGTGAAAACTCGTGCAAACACCAATCAAAAAGTTGTCTAAATTTTTTTAAAAAAAATCACAAATGTAGATATGATGATATTTTGTAACCAAGTAAAAAAATCCTGTTCAAATTTGATTTTGTTTGTAAGAAATAAAAATATATAATTCCAAAAAATATAAAATTGTTATTTTTATATCTCACAAACAAAGTAAAAGCAATATAGAAATTCAGAATACTTTTAGTAAGTGTTATTTGTGTACTCAATTTGGCAGAAGCTATATATATCGTGGCCGTGGGAACCAGAAACCGTACGATCCCTATGGTATGATATGTATAAACAACAGGAACAATGCACTAATGCATCTAATGAGCACATTATTTATATTTCTAAAACAATAAGATTGATAATTATATACTTCACCCATGAACAAAAAAAATAAATTATGAGCGACAAAACAAGGACCCCAGACATCCTACCGTCCTGAATGCAACAAATTAAATCACTGTAAAAATTCCTGTCATTCTTGCATCTGTAATCGTCAAGCTCTTTGTCAGCCACCAAATGGAAGATGTAAGCATGTTGTATCTATCATCAAGCACTTCCTTTACCACAAAACAGAAAAAATACACTGTTCTAGTACAAACATATCTATAGTTGCATTACACCTAGAGATAATTTACATGAAGACAAATCTAAATTCATCCACTCTCAGAATATTCTTCTTTCTTTGGCACTCATCTTGCTGCTGTGACCTCATTCGGATCAATGATGTACCCAACAGGGTTTCCACGGCCCACTGAGGCCCTACGAGACAGCGAAGGGGGCCGACCCAGCTGAACATTGGCTGGGACAGGGATTTCATCAGAGTGACCAGAAATGCAGAGTGATCCATTGTCATCTTGATCCCAGTAAACTTCAACCATCACGCCTCTTGGGTGATCCTCCGACTCGGTTCCGGGAATTCCGACAAAACGAGCCCCCTTTGGTATCTGCATTGCCATAGAAAATGGAAGTGATATCAAAGAGATATTCAGAGTTTTCTGAAGAAATCACACAATCAAATTACAGCATAGCAGCAAGTTTCAGAGTTTTCTGTACTGTTGCTGCTGTACAGAAGTTCTCTACATAGCAGTGAGATTATCCTTTTCATGTCCAATATTGCAGCATTGTTCTTAGGGGTACTAAGGAACAAACCTGAATAGATGAACCTGATGATAGGTTCAGAGTAACCAGGGTGCCTTCAGCAGTAGAGCTCTCCAGTTCTGCCTGCTTTGCGATGTTCAGGAATACTTCTTCGAGCGTCGTGAGGCCGAGTTGAATGTCTGAGATACCGAATTCCCGTTCCCTGTCTTGGAGTTCCCCAAAGAACCTCTGCTTAATGGAAAATATATTAGCCTATCATGAAATTAAAGCATGATGTTATGACAGCCAGAGTTTTGGGTGAGGAAGCAGTACCGTCAGAAGTGGTTCTTTCTCATGGGGGATGACGAACGTTAAGAATGTCCTGCTCTCCTCTTTTGGGTCCACATCAAGCCGCTGTCAATAAATTTCACATGATTTCCAGCTCTACTATATGAAAAGATAATTTTGAAGGATATAGAATTTAGTGATGAGCCACATACTTCCTTGAAGAACCATTTGACAGATTCTATGTTAGGGTTAACCGGGACTTCAGTGTTGCCGTTGATGTTAGGGCTTTGTGTGTGACCATTTCCAGAGAAATTCACATTAGCAATATATCCTGTTCCAAATTTCGACTTCAGCCTAATTGAAGTCCCAATGCACCGCAATTTCCCTTTAGCCATGATTGCGATCCTGTCACTCAGAATGTCAGCTTCCTCCATGGAATGGGTGGTCAAGACAATAGCTCTTCCTTTCTTTGCTTCCTCTATGATGTCCCAGACATGCCTCCTTGTTATTGGATCCATGCCAGTAGTCTGTGTAGGATATACATTGTTAGATCAGCACATGATAAGGGATGTTTGGAAGGAAGTTTGTAGCAAATTTGGCGGTCTTTACCGGTTCATCAAGAAAGACCAATTTTGGATCACCAATTAGAGCTATTGCAACACTTAGCCGGCGTTTCATTCCCCCACTGTAGCTACCTGCTCTAACATTAGCTGCCTGGCTGAGCTTCACTTGGATTAAGGATTGTTCTGCTACCTGCATTGGTTGAACAATCAGAGGAAGATCAATGCAAGACAATTAAATTAAGTGCTTTAGGGAGGAGTACGTGTAATCAGTTCTAAAGAAACATACCGACTTGATTGTTGATGGAGGCAGTCCCTTAATGCTAGCAAACAGCTCCATGTGCTCTTTAGCTGTTAGCGCATCCCACAAGATGTCAAACTGCAAAGAAATAAATCACGAATGTTTATCTTCCTTTGATCAATTCACATGCATCAGTAATATAACAATGTTTAAAGCACCTACCTGCGGACAGACTCCTATCATCCTCCGAATATTCGACATCCCAGCAGTGCTTCGAACAGAATGCCCATAAATCATCGCTGCCAATGTTCAAAATGGCTTATTAGATATTACAAAACAATACAACTATACAAGCTTTTGCTTTTAAGAAAGATACCAACCATCGCCGCCTGTAATTGGTGTGATTCCAGTCAAGCAACTGATTGTTGTTGTTTTACCAGCTCCATTGGGCCCAAGAAGGCAAAATAACTGGTCCTTCTCAAGGTTCACCCATAAACCCTGGAGAATTTTTTGTAATCAGTAATCAGAATAAGCAAATCTTCCATGTTTTACACAACAAGAAGTGACATATGGACTTACTTTGACAGAATGAAACGGTTTAGTTGTCCTGCATCTGCAGCAACCCATACTAAAACTCCCTGGATATGTTTTCCGCAAACCACATATTTGAACTGCAACACCAGGATCTACTTCATTGTTTGCAGCTTGTTGTTTTACTAGATTTTCCTCAGCAATAACATCCTCATCAGTAGGAGAAGCATCATCAGCTGGGCGGTTCGAACCAAAAAAGCTAAAGAGTCCTCCCTCTGTAATGGAGCATACAGATTAGCAAGTAATGCAAGAAACTATAGCTAGAACATTGTCCAGAACTACCAAGAACTTCAAACAGTCCTGACCTTGCAACTTTCCTCCTCCTTTTCCTGTCCAGTATGAAGGCATCAGAAAGTAGAACACTGACTTTCGAACACCATTGACATTTGGAATTATGTTGTCAAAGTAGATCGCCAGGACAAACCACAAGAAAAATGTGGAGATGAGCCATTTGTAGATATCATCCTATGAGATCGTTGTGAACATTCAGATTGATATTTGCATAAGGTTTAAGAACATAATATCCAATAAGCAATGATTCGTACGTACAATAGTAATGACGCAATCTGTCTCAAAAGATTGGCATTGTCCCCGCTGATTCCAGCTGATTCCTTTGTCTTCAGGAGTGGCCGTTGCCTTGCCCAGAATATTGAGGGCTTGGGCAAAAACATCAGGTGGAAACAAGGACCATATTGTCCGGTAGTACTTCTGGTAGGAAGTTGAATATGGGAACCCAAAGGTTGTAACAAGCTGCACAACAAGAAAATTAAAGAATTCACACACTTGTTCTGAGAAATTGAAGTACTGGATCCATAGTATTACAATTCAGAAAACTTACTTGTGTCAAGAAGCCAATAATGAATATTGCAAATCCAACAGTAGTAGCTGATGCTGCTTTTGTTACAAATGTGGATATCATGAAGGCAAAACTAAGCTGCAGCAAGCATCATGAATGAGGACAATATGTTAAAAACTTCTTTCTTTTGCAAGTTGTAACAGGAATCAGGAAATGTGTAAAAACCAACCATGCAAGCATGTTTTTATTATCTAAATTTAACATTTTAAATGGAGATAGGAGACTGATGGTTAGTATGTCAAAATTACCATGTTCAGTTGGAAGAGAAAGAAGAGGAGGAATAGGATCCCAAAGTTATTGTGCAGAAAGAAGTCAAACTGGAACATCATCCCAAAGAGCACAGTAAGAAGTGCTGAAAGTAATGTGACGAAAGCCTCCCAGGTTAACCAAGACAACCAATACGCTGACTCGTAGAGCCCCATGATAGACATAGCCTGCAATTATTAACCAAACTTTGAGTGGTGTCATGTAAATCTTACAACACAGGCAGAGTATGGGGGAGCTCGAACCTGACGAAGCTTAAGCTCTTTCTCTGTCACCAACGCACTGATTTGAAAAACGAATCCGAACATAGCAATAGCAAGGAAGAAAGTTGGCCCAGCTTGGGCAATAGTAGAGAAGGTTTCTGTAGCTGGGTGAGCGAACTCCTTGAACCCCACAGTCCAGCTAAAATTTGGGTCTGTCACATTCATCAGTATAAATATATACTGTTATTTGCCAAGACAACTATCAAACAGAAGCATACATACAGCTAACAACTATTTTTGCAGCATACCATAAATAGTTCAAATTAATCTAGTCAAAAGGCTTCATGAATTACTGAACAACCGGAATTGATGTCAAAGGGTATGACATAAGTGGTACCAAGTACAAAGCACAGAAGTAACAAAAAAGGCATGGAAGTAGCAATACCTCCAATCAGCAGCCTCGCCATTTCCCTCTCAGCTGCAATTTGAAGTGGTATCTGGAACTTGAAGGTAGGATCCTCATATGTTCCTCTCCGAGCTACCGGAGTGGAGTTCGTCTGAATACCATACTTTATCTGAGTGTCGTTTATAACTTGAAAATGTAAGGCGCCAGGGCAGCGCATTGGATTTTGGAAAAGCCAAGCATCAACTTCATCTGGAGTATTAAAACCCAAGACCTGAGAAATTTAGCAGAAACAGTCAGACGACATGTTCAGTGTAACAATAATTCTGGGGTCATGAATCTTATTTAAGCAGTATAGAAGAAACTACTAGTGCATACTGCGTTTGCAGTTTACCAGTACCACTAA